TGTGCGTGCGTGTGTGCGCGCGTGTGTGCGCGCGTGTGCGTGTGCTTGTACGTGTGTGCGTGTGTGTAACAGTGAATACAAAATAAATAAATAAATAAAATTAGCGTAGTAGAGTGCACTTAAAAGCATTTGTATAGGTAGATAAATAATTTAGGTAATGTAGTTTGTTCATAATTAATTCATACTAGTCTAACTGGAAGTTCTTCCGTCTTTTCATAGGATAACTTCTGTAACCATTTTCTTAGTTTATATCCAATTTAATACTTGTTTAATGCGTATATGTGTAGGGATTTATGAATTTTATTATATAATCTAGCACTTAGCGCTGTTAATTGCCCGTTAGATATGATACTGATAACTAATTGTGTTTATTAAACTATTTTAATTCGTCGAAGAACTAAAATAATGTCAATAATCAAACAAAATAAAAGTACAAGCAAGAATCAAATGAGGTTGATGAGGTGTGAATTCAGAACGCATCCGAAGATAAAATTTTTCTTTTAAATTAAAAACACTTATATTTTATAGTTCAACTGTTTTTCTTTCATCTACCATTTTCCTCGCTATAGTGAGGTGAAAAATTGTGTGTTTCGCTCGGCATCAAAGTTGTTCTGCCTCTCGTGGCTTGAAACCCTCGCTACGCTCAGGAATCTATTTTTGAATCAACCATAGCTTCGCTTGCTCAAGTTTCAATACAAGCACTCGTGTCAAACAACAACTTTGCCGCCTTGCATAACAAATAACTATTGTTTAGCTATACTTTTTACATTTCACATATCCTATTTCATTTGACGCGAATGCAATAGGAAACTAAAAGCGCTTTCGACCAAAAGCCTCCACGTGCAGGCAGATTGGATTTGAACGCCTTCGCGACGCATTGCTACTCATTATAATTTTCCTTATTTGTAAAATTTAATTAAAGGGTGTTTTTGGGGTAAATTTGTTTTTCTTTTAAAGCGTCCGACATCCGTCCGAAACAATTACTGCCAAATAAGCATTACTGGACCAAATGAAAAGACGCGTGATGCGAATGAAACTCATACTTGATACTTGTCTTTTAATTTTGTCGAATATTACTTATTTGACAGTAATTGTTTCGGACGGAGATCGAGGGTAGACCCCCTGAACTGATCCGTAACAGTACAGGTAGGTGAGGTAGGCCTCAGTATTGGTTCTTTTTAAATTTGAAAAAAATATTCCACCTCTAAGAGTGGCAAATTAAAACTAACTAAAACGTGGCAAATAGATCTAATTTCACGAGCTTTTCAAGTCGATTTTTTTAATAAAAAGATTATACAGTTAACAGCGCTGTCTGCGACAACAACGGTTCCAGGCAGCACAAGCTAAGACACCTCATTTTGCCCTCTGACATGTTTGGCGTACCGTTTATTGTTTGTTTATATTTTTCCTCAACATGTTATTTATGTCAAAAAGTGTCATTGTGGCAATAAAGGATATTTGTACTAACGTACAAAACTAGGTACGAACAAAAAACAAATCTCGCGTTTCGGGAATTCTCGCAACTACCGTATCCTATCTAGTTTTTGCGTTACACAATTGACATAACATTAATTATGCTATATACCATTTCACCCATCGTAATCAATGTAAATTTGTTTTAATTTCAGAGTGGGAGTAAAATTGCAACGGATGGCATATGGTATACCATTAGCGCAGATATGCGACGAGAGTTATATATTAAAAAAATTCCTTTTATTTGCAAAATATTAAAATTATCAACCAATATTTATTATTCAAAGTTTCGTTTTCAACATAAGGAATGATTGGACCAAAAAATATTATTATTTTAGTAAAATTTTTGTATCGCAGAAAAATACTGAGTTCAGGTAACAATTAGGGTGATGTATCCCTGTGATGTCGCGGAGGTAAACAACCGCATTCGTCTACTGCCATCAGAAACATTTATGCCAAAATAGATCTTATGGATTTTCGTTATAGCTATGTCGTTTGTATTACGAAAGAGACGACTTACGTTTCAAACCAATAGGATATGGTTATTTTGCCTCCTCTATGTTGAGTGATAATAACGGAATCCTATTGGTTGTTTAAATAAAAGGGACGAATGGCGTTTAAACGACCAATAGGATATCGTTATTTTGCCCCCTCGTGATAATAAAAGAATCCTATTGGTTGATTAAATAAATTTATTATTTTTTACACTCTTCAGAACTTGAGGTAGCATTTTTCTGCGATTCAACAATAACCTTCTAACAGTAGTTTTAAGTTCAGTCTTAATATTTATTCCTATACTAACAGTATTTTTTTTGTATATTAATTTCAATTTAGTAAAAGTTACTCTCTACTATCAGTTCTTTGTAAATTCCTTATAAATAACCTTCAATTTTAACGTTCGTCATTCCTTTGTCTGGTTTTCTAAACAGGGTGAATTTTTAATATAATCTTAAGTATTATTTGTCAATGTCTAGAACAAAATAATAACTTTTGCGTACTATAGACCTAATAAATTCATCCTGACTGTATTCTTCTTCGAGGTAAATATGTGATGACTGATTGAAAATATTTGTATATATTAAAAATTGTACATAATTAGTACGGAAAGTTAGAAAAAATCCAGTACTTTGGTTCAAACGACCGTCTCATGACAGGTGAGCAAAAACTTGACTCATTCATCCTTTGCCTACCGATATGTTGTATATTTATCCACTAACATTACTGCACAAATCGTGTAAGTTTCATGTTCTAATAATAAAATTACAGGCACATGGGACTTGTCAACTTGTCTCAGGGTGACGGGCGCAGTGGCAGTGCCCTTTAGATCTTTGTGACCTAAAGCTCTGAGTGGCACTGCAACTGTTATGGACTGCAACGGTTATGTCGCTTACCACCAGGCCCGCGACTGGTTCGTCAAGTCACTTAGTATCATAATTTAAATTTTGAATTGATATGATAAATGATACAGTTTAATATTGGGGCGCTATGTGTGGAGCCACCCCGTGAAATATCGTAAAACAAATTTTGTTTACAACTTTGTAATAGTACAATAAAGGTACGCGTATGAATATTGCAGATAAGAATGACTCGATGTTTTTGCTCAGCTTTAGTTTCGTACCTACGTAACATACAGATTGTCCAATTGTAAATGTACATTATTTAAAATGGATGATCGTTTTCAGTAAGAAAACAGCTACAAATCTTCCTCAGTATTTGTTATTAAAAAAATATCCAATTTTAACGTGAACTTCTTTAATATTGACTTCTTTTGAGACAGCCTGTATATAGTGGCGTAGTTGTATTACGTAAACAGAATTTCATAGTTAACATGACATGTATTCAGTTTTTCTACACCAGTGTTTATCTATAGACACTTAAAATTTCATAAAGTTTAACTTTTATGTCATTTGCTTAATGTTTAGATTTGTAATTTCGAAAAATGACTGTATATTAGCTTAAAGCCGTGCGATTTTTTACTTGATGAAATATGATATAATTAGATTCCTAATGAAAAACGTGTTAAATCAAAATTAATTTATTTATAAAATATACGTGGATCTAGGAGGGCTACAAAAGACTATGGAGAACATGGCCCTTGCTGATGTAATGCCATATCTCGTAATAGTTGAGGTTTCTTAAAAAAAATTAATAAACGCACAAACAAACGTTATAAACCGTTTTTTTCTTGGTTTAGTTAACACACACTTTTTAATGCAATAATAGATGTTAGCTTTGATTATATCACGTAAAGCCTTAGGATTACTATTCTTGGTTTAGTTAACACACACTTTTTAATGCAATAATAGATGATAGCTTTGATTATATCACGTAAAGCCTTAGGATTACTATTGCGTTTGGATATTCGCAGCTGTTGGTATTACCAATTTACTGTTAACGGTTCTACTGAAATCAAATCGACAATTAATTATTCTATAAAATGGCAATATTTTTGAAATTTGTATTAAACAAAGTATTAACCGGTATTATCGCAGTTAGCAATAAAAAGTTTTTTTTACTTCAAAACGGGGAAATTGTCCTTTCTGTATTTGAGTCATATTATTTTAACAGCTCTTTCAACAATTGATCGCTACGCCATCTAGTAGATTAAATTATTTCATCAAGTAAAACTACCATAGACATTATGTAAGTAATAATAGGGGTTAAAGTATGAAATTGCCGATTTGTACTGAAAATCTAAATTGTTTATTTTTTAAATTTTTAACAAATTTATTTAATCAAAATAGTTGCCATTATTATCTATACATTGCTGCCATCTAATGGGAAGGTTATTAATGCCTTTGCGATAGAACTCCGACGATCTAGACTGCACAAACTGTGTGAAAGCATTTTGTACTGCCTCCTGGGAAGAAAACTTCTTGTCACGTAGATAATTGTCCAAATCACGAAAAAAATGGTAGTCCGTTGGAGCAAGGTCTGGTGAATACGGAGGATGACGAATGGTTTCTAACTGCAGTTCCTGAAGGGTCAAAATGGTTTCTCGTGCTGTGTGAGGTCTCGCGTTGTCGTGGAGCAATAATGGTGAAGATCGATTCATGAGTCGGGGCTGTTTTACTGCTAGTTTTGTCAACATGGTTCGGAGTT